CTGCACACAGGCCGCGGTAATGCTTGCCGCGCGGCGGAAGTTCGCGCGACAGCCAATCAATATGCTGCTTTTCGTAATAACCTTCTAGCTCTTAGGAAAAAACAACATATTGATTGGCTGTCGCACGGACTTCCGCCGCGCAGCAAGTATTATCGCATCCTGTGTGCAGGAGCCATTAGAATTGCCGCTAGCGATCCATGGTTATATAGTCAATAAACCAGACAAGAATAAGAGAGGAAACAAGAAACCTCTTTCTCATCCCGCACACCTCAAGAGGCAGCGCGCGTTCCAGGGCCCCTATTCTTGAAATAGTTGCGTATACGTAAGTTTTACTGCGCAGGTTTAATCATACCATAAAATAGCTGCGCAATTACGTATACGCAAAAATTTCAAGAATAGGAGCCCAAGTAGTATATATTTCAGTGGAAAAGAATAATTTCTTAAGCCTGTATCAGACTACGGATTAAGATTGAGATTGAATTGAAAATTGGCCAATCAGAGCAAAGTTCGCCAAACTTGAGCTAGTGAATTTTGCTCTGATTAACTAAATTTCAATTCAATTTCAATTCTAATCTATAGTCTGATACGGGTTTTATGGTTGGGCGCCATTTGTAAAGCAATAAGTTAGACCGAGATAAGATATACTTGTCCTCCTCTTACTGCATCAGTTCAGTGGTGCAGCTCTTTAACTGCAAACTGTAAAGCCCATTCTACAATTGCGTAAGTGTAGTCGTGAACGTAAGAGTCAACCAATCCGAATGTTTTATTCACTGATTACTTTACTCTGATTGGTTGTCGTAGTCACTTACAACTACTTACAACCGCGTTCACGCAATTGTAGAATAGGCTTAAGAGTGAAACAAGTATATCTTATCTCGCTTTAACTTATTGCTTTAACTTATTGCTTTACAAATGGTGCCCAACCATAAGAAGTTATTTTTTTCAGCGAATTTCCTCTCGATGTACCAGTGCTACTGGGCGAGATTTCTGGTCACACTGGTGCTTGGTTTGCTCAGTTTTTCTCTCTTTTGTTATTTAGATTCAAATGAAAGAGAAATAAAATTTTAACTTTCTCCTCGTTGGCATCTTTGGGGAGACTATTTTTTTCATTTTATAGCGAATTTGGTAGCTTGCACTAGTGCGCACTGAGTGCGCACTAAGCTTGTTTACAGTACATTCTTATATTTAAGATCGTGTCTTAAATACATATTTAAAAACATTTTAACTAATAAAATGATTCGTACGGATGTTATATATATCATATTATGGTTAAAAATATTTGAGAATTTATTTGAGAATTATTTAAGACAATTTTTAAATATAATAACATACTATGAACAAGCCTTAGTGCGCACTCAGTGCACACTAGTGCAAGCAACCGAATTCGCTATTAGTCTACACTGTATCGTTTTTAAACGTTACTAGTGATCAAGGATGCACCGTATAAACTTTGGAGGAGAATTTTTATAATTTTGACATTAATATTGATCCGTTGCCAGTGAATTTTTGTTATATGCGTGAAGTGAACTTTTGTTATATGCGTGCATTAATTGATTGCGTGTGTTGTAGTTAACCTTTGTATAATTAACTAGTATTACTGAAGAAGTCCCAAATCGGGTCGAAACGTATATATTGTAATTATATTTTGTCTCATATAAATAGCACTACACATCTGTGCTTAGCTCTTATAGGCTCCTTTCTTCTCCTTTTTTTAAACTAATTTATCTTAGAGCCAATTTTTTTTTATTTGTTACTGTTCATTTATAATATCACCAAATTTTGAATTCAAAGCGTATACCTGATACTTTAATGACATCTGCCAGACAGTGTTAGCGTTTAATTAATCAAAATTTTCTTCAACAAAAATCATTAACCAATCAATAATCTAAGTTAGCCAAACAATTAATAAATATATATACATTGGGAGAAAAATACTTGAAAATTTTCCAAATTTATAAAAATGCATTATCACTAATATTATTATTTGTAAAAGTGATCTTTCAATTATTTCGAACAGTGTGCTTCATTGGACGGCACATACACACATTACACCACAACAAAATAAATCGCATTGATTCATAAACATGTATTACATGTATTACATTTTATTAGGACCTTAACTTAGTTTCCGCCCGCAAATGTTAGATGGCAATGCAAACAGTTCTAGTAGTCATTACTAACGAAACAGGTAGTTTGTGATTAATTTCGACATTTCTCGATAACATTCAGTCAGCATACACAATTATTTTCCTAAACAACAATTTCTTTTGCTTTGTGAAAAATGGAACGCGATAAA